CGTGCTGTCAAACCTACACTAGCAAGGAGATCGGGCTGAAACTATAGCTACAAGCTATCCAAGGATGGTACTATAGAATGTCACCTCAAGGTAGGCCTAGTGGCGTCATCTCTTGGTTAGGCCGGAAACTTATCAATCCACCCTCGTATGTAGGTAGTATACCTGTACGCATTTTGGATCAATCCACGCATAACGTCACGCTCTGACAAACTCGAGCATTTCAAATTCAAACTTCCTGTGAAGATCTTGAAATAGTGTTTTCCACAATGAAAAATAATTTCAAACATTTAAGATCTCAATAATCTTAAGCTTATTAAATATCAGGCATGTTATGTCAAAGTAATACAAAACATGTAAGTGCAAATAACGACCAAATCATCCAGGTATTAGGTATTATTATTAGTTCTAAAGATTCCATCTCTAGACCAAGTAAATAAAGTTTTAGATTTATCGACGCATCTAACTCTTTTACCTGTTTTGATCGGAAAATCTATAGGTGAAATCTAGGTTAGTTGTTCATTTTGCCATCAACTATGTGTAATAATTTAAAATAATAAAGTGTAATAAAGGTTTCTGATAAAGGAATCAAATAAATGTGTTAAAGTAGTGCGAACATCGTACGTTTTAACTGTAGTACTAACAAAGGGCATGTACCTGCCTATCAAAAGTATACACGAACAGAATACCTATCTCTAGAACTAGTACGATTGTAGAAGTTCCAACATATCGATGATCTTCAGCAATGGTGTAATACTAACAGCTAAATACCGATTTTTGAGGCCAGTGGGCATTCGATTCTATAGCCAAAGATTTAGTTTTTTCACGTTTTATGGTACATATTATATAGAACTTCCATTACGTCATGTTTATACTATCAGTAAGTCTACTGTAATGTTCAATGAAAATAGCACTTAAAGTAATCAAATAATTTTTCATAACTTACCTGTCCGATGGAGTCCATTAATTTATACTGATTAAGCTGGATGTACATTCCGAATTTCTCGATCGACACTCTTCGGGATTCCCTTAGCGGTTGTTTTTTGCGGCTACGTGGAGAATTGGTGGGACTAGCGTAGGGTGAGAAAGGATAATTGGGATATATAGGGCGGCAGTCCGAACTCACGCTTTTCTGTTGGGGCGAGAGACATCTGCAATACAATTAAATCCGTTTAAATTACTGGCAAGTAACACGTTAATAAAATAGCTACAATTCGATTTAAAGTCATTTTGCAGAATTGAACAGGAGCCGTGACAAACTGTCTGAATTATTCGAAACACGCTCGGGAGTAAAACAGATTATTCGAATTTTATCACGTCACACCAGCTTTTCATTTAGCCTTCATATGCAGGATGTGTCAAAAATTTCAGGACTATTTATTAAATTCACATACCAGATCTGAGTAAAAAATGTACGTTACAGAAGTTATACATTTTTTCCCTGCCTCTATAATGAAGATATTAAAAATTACTCTCAAAGTAATTTAAAAGTAGATTTGTTGTTTTTTTTTCAGTGATACTTCCTATTTCTTATTACTATGAAAACTGGAAGAAATTCTAAAATTAGTGTAAATGACATTCAAAAATCGCCAAATGTAGTTTACTATATACAACTATTAAAATGATTTTTGTTTCTAAATGTCGATAACCCCTAGGCCTTAATATTTATTTATAGGGTTGAATATAAACATATCTCTACAAAAGCATTTGGAAAGTGACCTGCTCTCTTCGAAATACAATTCCACATCTCCCGCCGCTAAACCAAAACGACGTCGTATATTCTTCTGATGAGGAAAAGCTGCAATCTTTGCAAACTGTTTCTGTCTCCAGTCCTCCTCACTACCCAGCTTTGAGGAACTTGCCGACTTGCACGAGCGAACTAAAGCCGCTTCCCAAAACTTCGACCCCTCTGTTAACTGTAACTCTTAACTTTAACCACTCGTCTCTCAGCGAAATCTTCCTCACCTTCCAATCTCTGAAAAATAGAAGACAAAAGAAAGAATTTCCCTCAAGTTTGTCGCTAAAGCAGTCGAATTAGTCCGGCTTCTTCATCACGTGGAGCGAAACAACTTCCTCACTGACTTCCGACACGGTTTCCGCGGCCACCACGGCACCGGCCACCAACTTCTTCGTGTTTTCGGACACATTGTTGACAACAAGCGTTGTCACGCACCCATACTTCTGCTTGACATCCAGCAAGTCTTAAATCCAGCTTGGCACATTTCCTAATCAGGGTTATCAGATCTTTCCTCTCGGATAGAACACTTCGTATTTGCGTTGGCTCTGCCTTGTCCACCAGGAAACTCGCCATGGCCGGTTCTATGTTCTGTAGAGACATGCTGTCCCATCCTTCGATCCTCTCGATTCTTTCGCCCTTATAATCTCCGCTGAAACCATTCTTTAGTGCTCCGCAAAAATTAATAAGTTTCTGCTCCGGCTCCTAAATTGGTACCGCAGATGAAAACTGCGCACTTCCCAACAGCCTACAACTCTATCAAGACACTTACATGCGGATTCTTCGTTCCGCATCGACTACTCCTGGTTCATCAGAAACGGCCAAATTCGGAAAGAAACTGATCTATCTTCACTCCCTGAGGCTGCAATCAGATTCGCAGCAAATCTCCGGACCTCAGCGTCATTTCACTCAATCTCGTCCATCTCAACACTTTTCCGATTTCGCCCATAAACCAAACACCGTTTCAGACGGCCCTGTCATCTTCCACTATGAGCTGCTCCCTCCCGCTCATTTATAGTTTCGCTTTTTAACGCGAGTGCCCACCTAACTCATCCGAGGTGGACCACCAATTTCCGTTTCAAGGTTTCTTCCCAAAATATTCCTCTCCTAAACCTTCCCTGGGATGTATAATCTCCGAGTTGATCTCCCTACTCGAAGAGCGGTTTTAGTCAATAGATGCTTCGACGAATCTTACACTACCACCTTTCAAGGGGTGTTTTTTGAAGATTTCCTCTCCTCGAGGAAAACTGAACAAAAAATAAATCCGAAGAGTCTAACGCTTCCCCAGACACAACATAAGTACACCAATATAACATTGTCCAGGATGAATGTAAGAGACTATTAGTGTAGTTCAAAGTTAATAAAAATTATCTGTACACATAATGTAAAAGCTATTTTACAGTACTGTTGAATGAATTACACACATTCAAAGGATTGAACACTCTCTTATATAGAATAAAGGCCAGCTAGAACTATATGTGAGGAAATATATGGCCGAAAAATTATTTGTGCTTATTTGGAATATAAATCTTCATGTTAATTCCTCCATAGTGTTATTTATCAATGAATTAATAACAATACAAGGAAGCATGTGTCAATATTTGTCACTATTACGTGTAGATAGGCACCTACTATATTTGCCTGGAAAATTTATAAATAACCACAATATTGTGGAAGAGAAGCTTTGAAAACAACGCCTCTTTTATCCTCTTTTTGACAGTTTTGCATTGTTACATTCTAGCTTCTGCCCTCGCCTGATTATTATGATAACTAGCATCATTTGTATTGTGAAATTTATTTCTTGACAGGTAGTGTCTGTGAAGTATATATGCGTGCTTGTCTAAATGTGAAGCGAATGAATAACGACAATGAATTTTAAGTATCCAAACCCGAATGATTCAAGAGAGTGAGAGAATTCTGATATTAACGCAATGCAGTTTGTTTATCCATTCATGTGTAAGAATTAAATGATTATTATTTATTAGTCATTAATACAGAAAAACAACCGACTATCAAATGATTATTGATTACATAGGTATTTCTTTGATCTAAGATTACAATTTAATCTAAACAGAATTATTAAATAATACTTCCTTTATGGATATGAATTGCAGACATTCTGAAAGGTTTTCTTATAAAAAAAAGAAGAAACAACAAGACAGTTACCTAAATATCTGTTTGACTGCTAGGTAGACAGTCTCGGGTTAAACTCTTTTTTTTTTAATTAACACACATAGTACATTCGCCACTATTTCGTTGATACTACTACTATTAACACTTTAGAAGTGAATAGAAATAGTTGTAAAGAGTTGATCAGCAAATACGCATCGTTCGATTTAAAAATTGCATAAATCGTTGGATGTATATTCGGCTTTGTTAAATCGTCCTACATTCCTAATTACTTTGCATTAGAAACTTTTAAAACAACAATGCAACAGTTTTAAATCATCCTAAAATCAAGTTACTATAAATACCTGATAAACAAAGCAGTTACAGTATCAACAAATAGCCAGTAAATACACAAGTGAATGATTTGGAATAATATTTAGTTCGCTTTATTGCATGTTTATAGTTTATTCATTATAAAATGGAGTCTCCTATTTTAAAACATGAAATTAACAAAATCTATTCAACCCTTATCAAGAACAACATTAAAGGCGGCAGGTAATGATTTAAGAAGCGCAAACGATTGTATAGTCCCCACTCGTGGTCAGCTCTTTGCAGAGACAGGAATTAAAATATAAATAGCAATTATGGTCGTACAGCTGCAAGATCTGGATTAACCGTGAAATATTCCATAGACGTGGGAGCAGGTGTAATTGACGAGGACATAGGAGTGAGATTAAAGTGTTATTTTTTAATCAATCATTTACCACAGCATCCAATTTCTATTTTCAGCGCAATTGTTCTTCATCACCTCCTTAAAAGTTACTAATTCTGTCTATTTGATTGAGTAAAGTGAAATTCTCAAGCAATCTTTACACATCCGAGTTGCTTTGTAGCTCCTTCATATTCGAAATGCTACGAGCAAAACATTTGTCTCATTTACGAATCGATAAATAATTATACTCGTAAATACAATATACTTAGTTGTTCAGATTGTTTAGCTTTAAGCTATATCTTATAGAAAGCTTTGAATACNAAAAAATTTGGACTAATGAATACCGTTGTTGATATTTTTACAACGCACAACGTTTCGAATGATATGTAAGATGCCATTAGAGGTCATGGGAAGGGACTGAGAAGGGACTGGCCATCGAACTGTAACAGTATCCCGCTAGCTATACTACTCCTGTATGTTCGGATAACAAGTGATAGCCCTTTACTGAAATAAATATACATAAAGATGCTGGCTTTAAACCTACACTCCAATTGAATAAATAGGGAAGAAATGGCATTTAAAAGGTTCATTGATTTTGAATTTGGAAAGTAAGTTGGAAATAGAGACACCTCAAATTACCACTAACATTTTTCGCAGCAAAGTGGTTTCCCCAAATGTGAAGGACAAAAGTTAAATACCTACAAGAGGAATAATCGCAAAAATTGAAAACTGCCCAATTTTTTTTTTTTTTTTCGCCACCAGAAAGCTTAAGTGCTTCTAAGGCCCTGAAAGATGATACAACAAATGATATCAATAACATAATTATAAATCTTAAATGTGGGGATCAAATGAAATCCATAATATGTAAGTATTACAGAGGCTATAAGGGCTCAGTGAGAGTTACTTGGCACCTTAGCCCTTTAAAACAGCTTCCTTAGTAACTGACGAGAATGTCATCTTTTTTTACTAGTGTGTTGTAGGTAAAGACTTTGTCTATCTACCCTTTAACATTTTTGCTGGTTCTGTCCTACGTAACCACTTTTCGGTTTATGATCTAAAATGCACACAGAACACAATTTGTTTTGTTCGGCGCGTAAACTGCGTTAAAGCTCAGATTAGTTCCTCAGCTAGGTATATAAACTCATCCAATGGTTTCTACAGAAAAGTTAAGTTCATCCGCTTCTAGGAAAATGTACATTAAGAAAATAGATGTTCATGGCAGATGCTACAAAAGCAATTATATCGTAACAAATATGGTTTTATATAGAAGAGAAACAAATAAAATTGCTCTATACGTCTATACAAAGAAAAATATCGGCCTAACTATTTATCACTGTTCATATTGGATAAATATATATACTATTATCATCCCAAAAACAAAATAGGGCAATTACTGGGGCTTGTATTAATTTTTTTTAAATGTCCTTTAAATAAATTACCAGACAGAGAGGAAAACTAGTACTTATTTTCGATGTACATTTTCTAGGAAATCTACTTAAATAACTGGCAAGAGAAAATGAGTTTGTTCCAAAAATAATTCAGAGTTCTTTACATTTGGCGAAAATGCGACATATTTATTTTTAGGAAAAGCTTCT